GAAATTGCTGGCACCAAAAGTAACTCTGTAGCTTCTTTACCCGACTTCCATGTCAAAATTAAGTATAAACACCACAAATTTGGTTAGGAGTGTTCGTGAGATCAAGGAGTCTGATTTAACATTAAAAAGAATAATACATGTGTATAATTAGGACACCATTATCTTTAATACCCATGGAAATGTAATGTCAGCATTTAAGCTCTGGAAATAAAAAAACAATGCAAGTGAAAAATCTCAGTGCAGCTGAGTATTGACAGGAGAACCAGTTCCTCATCCTCTTCAGAAGTGGCAGTGCTGAATGAGGAAGAGGGAGTCCCTTGTAATTGTCAGTCATTCTGTTGTTGTCTTTCAAAGTGCCTGTTTTGCAACTGTCACTTCCCTCCTGATGGCTTTATGAAGGGCCATGTAAAAATGCTGAATTAAAAAAAAAGTGAAGATGTTGAGCAAAGTAAATTCAGTATGTATAAATACACAAGGGTAATTGTCTATGGGGAGCAGTCAGGAGCAAAGGCCATTATTTTCTCTACCAAATGCTCTGCCACTTTTTGCAATCAATTTTTATGATGATGAACATTATTTCCCAATCAGTTGGTTGTGAACTTACATGTTTTCCAATCACATTTTGAATATTTAAGTCTGATAGATAAGCAGCAGTACACTGAGCCAAATAGGTATGAGATGAGTGGATTGGGGCAAAAGAGAGTGTATTTGAAATGCAATTTTTTGCTTTTTTACATACCTAATAGTTTGAATTCATTACCTGGGTTTTCATTTTTTACAAACTCTTCAAAATAAAAACTATGGCATGAAAAAAAGATGTTTTAGCTTCAGTAGCTACTTTATCTTCATAGGCTTGCACTCCTAAGCAGTAATCAAGGACTAGATTTTAAGTGTTTACTAATTTGGGAAGCTTTATTTGGAATGTATGAATGAAGGCAGTGCTTTTTTTTTCCTTCCTATGAAGGAAGGGCACCAACAGCTCTTCCAGGGATCAGTTAAAGTTGTGGAGAGTAAATGCACCTGCAAATTAAGTTGTAATAATCTAGTTGGACATAAAGAAACTGATATTGGCAGGGAAGTTTTTAGGAGGAAAAGGTTCTCACTGTTTTGTGACTGCTGAATGCTTTTTTTTAGTTGGGAAGACAGATGGCAACCACAATCTCTAACCTCATCTCGGAACTGCCAGAGGATAACTGTAGAAACCACTTGGGCCACTGCAAAGTCTGGCCACAGGGATGGGCAGGCTGGTAAGACCAGACTACACCTATGTACTCTTCTTTTACTCCCTAGTCTTGGCTGTTGTTAGATATGGAAGTCGTGTCCCAGTCAAGAAAATTATTTCCAGCTAGCATTCATACTGCCTTGCCTGGAGACTCAGCTTGGCACTTGGGCCAGGAGGTCTGTCTATGCCCTGTTTGTCAGCAATGAAGTGAGAGAAAGCTAAATTCCTACTTACACAGAGTGCCTCTCTCCATCGTTCTCTCCCTTGATGACAATGAAAGGGTGAGGAGCTTCAACTATAAGCAGGGGAACAGGGCTTTTCTTCATCAAATCAACAGGTTTTGTGTAAGTGTCATTTAAGGTGTAATTGAAAGGAGCCTGTACCAGGAGGCAGGTGGGAAGGGAAGGAACTAGTGGGCTCACTAACATCTTTCTTGGCCTGAATCTAGCAAAGATTTAGGCATATGGCTGAATTTATGCTCTTCACTTTCTCTCTCACCTGCAAGCAGTTTTCCCTCTTAAATTCGTTAGTGTGTGGTGAGCACAGAATTCACATGCTAGCTAGGTAGCTGTTGTCATAGTAAGGCTTAGCTTTCTGGTGATCATACTGATAATAATAGATAATACTTTGGATCCCTTTTCAAATACTCTGTCATTGCATTTTCTAGATAAGAATTCTACATAGTTTTAGAGCTGTTTTGTCCCATTTGATTTACACATCTATCATTTGTCATTATTTGACTATTGGTCTTTTAGCCCTGCAATTTAAAGTAGGGGGAAAAGAGCATTAATATGCATTTTAAACAAGTGTCTACCAAAGGTCCTACATATGCCAAAAATGGTGGGTTTTTTTTTCCTTGGTTTTGAAAAGAAATTAGGAAGAAATATTTGGCTTCTAGACTCAGCACTTTCCTTTTTATGTGTGTGATATGTGAATATACCTAAACCAAATCAACAGTATGATTTTTTTGTTGTTGTTCTTATTATTTTTGTGTTAATTTATTAAGCTGTACTGCATTTGCTATATTTTCAAAGGGATAAAATTGAGTAAGAACTAGTATGACTTTCCTGTAATATACAAAGAGGATAAATATAGAAGTGACTTGAATGGAAATATGAACAGGAATAGCAGAGTGCCAGCAGCCCCTTGAACATAAATCTGCAGGCAGCTATGCCAGAAGTCTGTTTCATTACACTCTTTGTATTGCATAATACAGTTGGTGTAATTTGAGATGTTTGCAGGCTCCTCATTTACCACTTCTCTCCAAAATATGACCAAAGCTTTGTAGCTTTTTACTGCAGTTATCACTTACGAATTCTTTCTTGTTCCTCAGCAACTGTGATGTATTTTCTTTGCCGTTACCTGTTCCAGAATTGAGTATCCTTTCAAATCCTTCATTTCCTAGACTAAAACTTGATGTTTTCATTTAATCCGTTGTTAGTTATTTCAGAAGTTCCTAAAATTGGTTACAGTCCAGTTCCCCCATTGAAACAGATACAGTATTCCATTGCACAGTCAGTGGATGGAGTGCTTTCCTGCCACAAGGAAATGTATGCTTGCAGTTGAAGGTTGTCTTGCCTTTGTTGGAGTGACACTCTTCAGCGGAGATACAGTAACAGCACGTGTCAGCTCCCAGTTATGCTGCAATTGCAGAGAGGAAGAGGTTTGGGGGAACGATCCCCTGTTCTGCATTGGGCTGGTTGTGTTTCCAGTCAGATTCTGTGTCAAGAATGGAGAAGAGTGCAACCATTGCCAGCTGGGAACAGTAGCAGCAATGATTCCTCATGCCCTGAGAGGTCTGAAATTAACCAGGAAAGTTCATAAAACATCACCGGCCAGCTGCCTAGAACTGCCAACAAAGTTCCTGCCAGTTCATGCAGCAGCCTTCTGGTTTTTGGTTTAAACATAATTCAGCAAGTTAGAGAGTTCTCAAACAATTTCAACGTTTTGAAAGCACCACAACTCCTTCTAGCAGTAAATGTATATAGCCTGCCTTCCCTTCTTGCCCTCTTCAGGGTAATCACTTTTGGGTTGGCAATCACAGCAGTTGCTTGTTTGTTCGAATATGAGGAAGTGTTTTAATCATCTTCAGAACACTGGTTACCAGTTTTTAGAAGAAATTGTTCTCGTTCTTTGCTCTCAAACTCTTCATTCCCCCAACTTCATGCACGTGTTCTTGTGGCCTGTTCCCAGTTAGCTAAACATAATGTCCTGGTCCCAGCCGAGAAGTGGAGAGAACGTCAGGATAGCTCTCATGTAGTAATCTCTTAATACACTATCCCTTTCTGGAGGCAGTCGGAATAGCTCATTCTTCCCTGTAGGAGTTTTACAGTGGAGGGTGTCCTGTACTAATTTTAGGTGTAAGGAGGAGCAGCTGTATGACCTGGTTTTGCTTTAAGGACTATCATCCATGTATAAAGAAATCACCTTCCTGTGCAGAGCAAAACTGAATTAGTGTTTCTTTTCAAGCGTACACGACACTGCAGCACAGTTCACCTAGTTTTATTTTATGGCCACTTGGTAATCAATATATTTCGTTCAGAAAATGTGTTTTTACACTCAGGTGTCTCAGTTGTCAGGGAGTAAATCACAGTCACAAGATCATCAGTGCTGCACACAGAAAGCCAAGATACTAAAAATGTATGAGGTCAAACACATTCAAGGTCACACTTGTCCCTCTTCAGCTGTTGAGGAAACGCGTGATAACGTAGACAAAAACTTGAACGTTGATGCAGATGCACAAATAAGTCGGTGTGAGGTACAAGGCATACCTAGGATCAGGAGGGCAGAGGCCTCCCAGACACAGACACCTGGGTCACATGGGAGTGCCTGTGGACAGCCTGAAGCGACGGTGACACCACCGCCGGTTACAGGGGCCGGTGCGCACCACCGATGGAGTCACGGGAGCGAAGTCACCCTGCAACAGCACCGGGTGCCAGGCCCCCACGTC